AACAAGGACAAGGCCAAGGCCAACAAGGCCAAGGACAGCCAGGACAAGGCCAAGGCCAACAAGGCCAAGGCAGCCAGGACAACAGCAACAGGTGCCACCAGACCCAGCCCAAGGCCAAGGCCAACAAGGACAGATGCCAGGACAAGAGCAACAGGTGCCACCAGACCCAGCCCAAGGCCAAGGCCAACAAGGCCAGCATTTGCATCCTTTGCTTCCACCATCACCAAGCCAATACAATTTGGAAGTTTGGGAGTTATCTTCCCTTATGCAAAGGCCTGATCTGCAACCAGCTGGCCAAGGACAGATGCCAGGACAGAATCAACAGGTGCCACCAGACCCAGCCCAAGGCCAAGGCCAACAAGGCCAAGGACAGATGCCAGGACAACAGGAACAGGTGCCACCAGACCCAGCCCAAGGCCAAGGCCAAGGACAGGGCAGGGCAGGAGGAGGGCAACAGGAAGGGGTACCAGCACCATCTGCACAGACATCTGGGCATGTCAGTGGCTTGACATGCACATGGGGTGAATGAGTGGCAGAACTAGTTTAAATAGTGTGACTTCAAGTGACATTTGATGTGGTACAATTGCAATACATCATTGTTCATCTTTTGTAGGTGTTAGCACAAATGTGGTGTAGTAGATGTTGTTTTGTCAATTTGTGGTGTACCAATTGTAGAAGTAGGCTGAGTGCATGTGAGGTGGATTGTTCCAACAAGACCTACTTCAAAGAGCTGCAGCTGCACAACAGGCTGCAGCCCAGGTGCAGTCACAGGGAATTCAAGTTGTTGAATGTGAATGGAGGTGAACTGGATTAGATTGGAAGAGACAAGTTGTATGATCATGTGGCCCCACTTGGTATGCATGGCATGCAGGCAGCAGGCAAAGCTGCTGGCAAGGGCAAAGCAGCAGAGACCCATGAGGATGAGACCCCTGAGGAGGGGAGGGAACTGCACTACAGAAGTGTGCTTTTGTTTTGCAGCTGTAGTTGGTGTTCATATTGGGCTTGGGTGTGTTTGGAACTGCCAGGAGCAGAGGACCTAATCTGATTTGATTTTGCTGATGCTTGGGCATGGTTTGGTAGTGCAACCCTGCATGCAAATGGTATACACTAACCATGTGCATATTTGTGTGAGGATTTGCAGTGAGAATAACCAACAATGTGCAAGCTGTGGCATGCATTGCAGGGTGTGTAGGAAGCTTCCAAGGCAGCTGGCAGGGGACATGTTACTTCCAATGTGTTGTTATGTGTTGTTGGCAACAGCAATGTCTATGTTATGATAAGATGCATGCCTTTGTTGGTCACCAGCCTGCTGTGTGAGTTGCCTTAGTATGAATGTGGCAGGCTGTGAAGGGCAGGCCTAGGGTTCAAAGCTGGGCCTGGAGATTCATGTGCTAAAAGTGCTCATGGGCTCATTGGGTGTTTGTGCCTTTCTGTGTGTCATGCTGCAGGTCATAGCTGAGTGTGTGTGTGTGTGGTCAGGTGACTGGGTGTGGTAGGGGCTCAGGTCCTGTAGTTTAGTGGTGGGTGGGAGCAGCATCAAGATTTGCCATGACCCAGTGGTGGTGTAGAAAGGGTGGTGCACTAAACATGAAACTCATTGAGGCTGGCCTCAAGAAGGCATACTGGCAGGAAAGGCTGAAGATGGGTTCTGGCTTCTGGAGCCAAGCAGAAGAAGCTGCTTGTTGTTGACTGTGGTCATGCTTGGCCTGTCTTCCTTATGCTTGTAGCCCCTGGCCTTCTGTCTGAGGCTGCTGCAAGCATGGATGTGGCCACTGGGCATGTATCAAGCCATGGTTAGAGTTGTGAAAGGCAAACCAAGCTGAAACAGGTGCATAAATATATTTATAGTGTCAGTGGTAAGAGGTCCCAAAAACAGGAAAACAAGTAACTGCTACCTAAAATAATGCTGGAAAAAAAAGGGCAGCATTTCCTTTACTGGTGAACAATTTGAAGGATAATATTTTTTTGCCTGCAGGCAATGACCAAAACAGGGAAAAAGTTAGCTTTTCCTAGCTTTTCTTAGCGTTTCTTAGCCTTACTTAGCTTTTCTTAGCCTAGCCTAGCATTTCCTAGCCTGTCCTAGCCTTCCCTAGCCTGTGTTAGCTTTTGTTAGCTGGCAGGACAATGTACATGTACAACACATGGAAACTGGCACCCTAACATGGTCCCTGAGGCTGTTCCAGATGTCCTCCTAGCAGCCAAATATGAGTGGACCTTTGACCCCACCAAGAGTTTGGGGACCCAGCAATGGACTCTGACTACACAGTGGGCCAGTGGATATGAAGGAAAGGAGCGTGTGAGCCTGGGCTGATTCTGTGAAATCAATTCAACATGTGTGTGTGCAGTAACTGTGACCAAAACCAGGAAAATGAGGGTTGGTGTTGAAACCCAAGGAGTGTGGTGGACAACAGGGCCCCTGCCAATCCAATGGATGACCACAAGAAGGACATGAACTGGTTTGGATGGCCTTTGGGAAAGTGGCAACACAGACAGGTGGCTGGTGGCACTCCTGACATTCCTCAGACCCCTCCTGAGGCAGTAAGGAGGGGGGGTCAAGAGGGCATTGTCAGATGATGAGTTGTTGCCAGATGACCCTAGCATCAACCACAAGGCAAAGAGGGTCATTGAAAAGTTGATCAGTGGAGCTTTGGAGTGTGAAGAGGAGCCCTTTCTGCTGCAGTGAAGGGTGCATTGTTTTGCAAGGCAAATGCATGTGGTAGTAGCTCTGTGTAGGCCTTATCTTTTTTGCATGTCTCCAGGAGATGGTGAAATTGTTTTCAGAGAAGAAAAGGATCAAGATTGCCCAGTTCCTCAGCCAAGTGGTCTTGGACACTCAGCTGGCAATAGGGGTGCACAAGACTGTGTGGAAACAATGAGCCTTGGCCATGGCAACCCACACTTCAATGTGTGAGGAGGAGTCAGATTGTGAGTTTGATGGGCTGCCACCTCCAGACTCTGATGAGAGCCCAGCGTCTACCCTTGCCAATTGGGAGGTGTGGTGGGGTTGAATTGTGCAAGTTTGACAAAACACCAACAATGTGGGGTGCTTGTTTGTTAGGCATATCAATTCTCACCACCACCTGGTGGGCCTTCTGTCAATCTGGAGGCACCATGCACAGTTGCAAACAAACCTTGCCAAAGAAATGTGTGCAGCTAAGCGCAATATTGTGGGGTGCTTGTCAGGCATATGACTACTCATCCTCACCTGATGGGCCTTCTCACAATCTGGAGGCACCTCACAATCTGGAGGCACCATGCACAGTTGCAAACAAACCTTGCCAAAGAAATGTGTGCAGCTAAGCGCAATATTGTGGGGTGCTTGTCAGGCTGAAGTCCCAACACCTGAGACTCATGGTATTCTGGAGGCATGATGCACAGTTGCA